ACAGATCTGCTGAAACACGGCGAGAGCTTCCCATGTTGGGCTGGAGTCCTGGGTTTGCTTAGCCCTGGTCTCACCACACAGGTGCGGGCGTTGGGGCCACGCTGGGTGTGTTCAAACCGATGCAGGCATTTTCTACGGTAGCAAATGTTTTCTTGACGTGCTGGAAAACACGACCTGTCACTTCAGCAGCCGTCTTCCTTGAGGGCTTGGCAGGAATCACAAGGTGCTTGAGCGAGTTGGTTAGCTGAGGGCAGAGTGTTTCACTAGCCTTACCACTGCAGCCGAACCTTCCAAACGTGGTGATCCCTGAACTAAGTGAGGCTTATTTGAGAGACTACAGAGTCTACAGAAAAGTCATCCTTGACTTCATTGAGCTTTGGAGCGGTTTGCCGTTGTCTCCAGTTGTTGCGCAGGATCTTTGAGCCAGCTGGCATCATCCGTGTTTCCACCAAGTCTTGCAGGGAGTTGCTGCTGCCTGCTACGTCTCATCAGAGTTCGGATCAGGTTGGCTGCTCAGCCACAGGGACGATAGCTGTCGTTTCTCCTTGTTCCCTTCCCTTGATGCTGCAGCAGAGCCCTGGGTTGCTGACTTTGAGAGAACGAGCATCAGCCTCTTCTTTTTTTACTGTATGGGAGTAATTGTAATTTGAGAGAGATGATCCTATTGACTTTAAGAAGGCAAAGAAGATTCCTGAAGAAGAAATAAAAAGGCACGTTTTACACAACAAAAAGTCAGCATAAATGGACCTATTTTCCAGAAAATTTCACAGTGCTGAAATTGATGAGTTTGTAGCATTTCAGGCAGTTACATCTCCTATTTTATTTGGAGGAGACCCTGTTAGCTATGCAGGAGACAGGAGAGCATCCGAAGGACGCTTACAGTAGCAGGCAGCAGAGAATTCAGAAGGCGGCAACAGCTACTGAATTCAGCGATGCGTGAGGAATGTGTTTAAATGTATTTCCAGTGCCTTGGCGTGTCCTTACAAGTTCTTGAAAATAGTGAAATTTAAGCACAGAATCAGATACTTCTGCTGAATTGGAGCTGAGGGCTCCAAATACACAGATGGCATCTGTCTGTCCCGACTCCTGTACTGTACGCTGATGTCAGGGAGTCTCTGCAAGGATGCAGTTGAAGGATTGGTCCAGGAATTTGCAGCTGCCTTTGGATGTCTGTAGGAAAACTGGCTGGCATACGCTGTGGTAGTTTGCATCTCAGCCAGAATTTTTAAGAAGTTGCAAATGGTAGTAAATAATTTCCCTAGCAGAATAGGAAGTTAGATTTTGTCGATTCGCGCTGGTGAGAGGAGTTCCTCTTTGCCAAGGGTAGCAGCTTTGTTCCTCACGCTTTAAATGAGAAACATGACAACGTCATTATAGTCAGAGCAGGTCTCCAGTTTTTACACTGAGTTGCCCCTTAGTTTTCTGGATAGGTAGGGCATCTCTCACAAGCGGCCAGGAGTCAGGTAGGTCCAGATTCACTTCCATCCTATGAGTAGTCTCCCTCGTTCTTTACTCAGCTACAGCATAAATAAGAGTGGCAGAATGTGCCCGTAATATTCTGATGGTGCCTTTAATGAAATAGTTACTGGGTGGGATATGAAAAAGCGATGTGAAACTGGCTATAGCCTGAGTTACTGCTTTACAAACTTCTTACTGTGTATTTCCATATAAATACATATCAACTGATTACATTTTTATGGCATTTCAAGTGAATTCTAAGTGAAGCCCTGGACGATGAGTGCTTTGGCAGGTCTCTGTTTGATCTAAGAGTCTTTCCATATAAATATTCAGTGCTCTTCAAAGTGGAGTGGTTTTGGACTCCCAAGCACGTAGAGTTCATTGCCTACCTCTGTGCTGAGGGCTGACCCAAGCACGGCAGTATTTGAATTCCCTCTGTTAAATTGACTCCACTAGTTCTGCGCATTATTCTCCCTGTCTCCCATTTAGCATGTTAGTCTGCTGACAGTAGAGTACACAGCACTTAGCAGCTGGTTTGTGGAACCATCAGTCAGGAAGTTATATGATAAATAGGAGGTAGCCAGGTTTAGTGGCACTTTATTCTGCTTCAGCAGTTTTAGCCTGGACTTTGGAAAAGTCATCATGTGGTTTTTCTTAAGGGTTGCAACAGGAGATGGCTACAGCGTGGTAACTTATTACACATACACTTGAGTTATGATGTTCACCAGCTGTATTGCTCATGTGTAAATAATAAACTGTGAGATGGATAATTATGTTGGGTTTTGATATGCAGCTCTGCTCTGGTCGGCACGGGGCTGATGGAGACAGCTCCCTGCGCCGTGATGGAGTACGGCTGTTTCCCAGATAGAAACTGCAAACAAGATGCAACCAAGATATACAGAGGACCTTAATGTGAGAGGACTCAAAAAGGTGTGCTTGGAGATTTATATCCAGCGTGGTAAATACAACTTGTTGGTGCTCTGCGCTGCAGAGGCCTCACAAAGGGGAATACCGTTTTTGGGTCATTTAATATTCATTTTCCATTTCCCAGGTAGGGGAAGATAGATGATCGCGTTCAGGAGGGTTAGATGGTGTTTCACTGCATGTATATTGGGACGGCTTTGAACAGGTAGGTGCTCCGGCTGGGTGAGGGTGGGACAGGGCGGAGGCTTGGCATCCTGGGTGGGATCGCTTCCCTCGGCCAGGCGGAGCCCGTCCTGTCTGACGTGAATAAGGGTGAGAAAAGCTCTGTGGTATTGGCTGTGCCCCCCAGACTCACTCTTCAGAAATGCGTAGAGCAGAGGAGAACTTGCCTGTTCATCTATGAAGGTGCGAGTGACTTCCTTCTTTGCTGAAAAAACGATGGCAGAGTTTTTATCGTAAAATGCCAGATATCTACTATAAAAACCTCCTCCCTTTGGCTTACACTGCTGTAGTCAAATGTCAGCGAAGCAGGGAACAGGGCAGGCAGGAAGATGCGCTGAAACACACTTCTCGTGCCCCCTTTCCCCTTCTCCACCTTGGTGGCTGCTGAGGAATGTGTTTCAGGGGGCGGCAGCAAGTGTCCTCCGCTGGCGTGATGACGGTGTGTTCACAGGGGCAGTGGTGGTCTGTGACCCACTTTTACTCCTGCTGAAACCCAGGAGTGCTTGGTGTGGGGAGTGAAGCTCGTAGCAGATTGCATGCCAAGGTCCACCTGGTGCAGCAGAACTGGAATTAAAGCAGAACTGGAATTAAAGCTACCACGAGTTTGAGCTCCCAGTAGTCACAATTATTTTTCATTTACGATACCTAATCTCTGAGTCAGAAATGTGTCAGAATCTCTGGCAGAAATGTGCTGTGGCTGATCACATGCTGGTGATGTTTCACAAAATCAAGCCATGAAACCGGGCAGGCCCTGTCAGATGTTTCCAGATTTTCCTGAAATACTGGGAATATTTCCTCAGAATTGATGCGATTTCCCCATTTCCCCTTCATCCCCTCCTTTTACTCCCTCAGGGCCATGAGGTTTTTTCCTCTAGTTCTTTCTCCCACTTCAAAACGTAGTAATAAACCAACCCAACTTTTGACAAACACCAAGGGGAAAAAATCCTTTTTTTTTTTTTTTTTTAACCATTTCTAGTCTCTAGTTGACATGAGGGAGCTGCTTTCATGGATAACATAATCTAAGAGGAGCATTACATTTTGCTGAATAGGAAAGGCAGGGAGTACAAAAAAGAAGATACCTTCAACAGTCAGAAGACAAAACTGAAATAGCCTTAGTTTTACAGCCAGTGCATAATTCAAGTTTTCTTTCTTTCTGGAAGCATTTTAGTAAATCTGTGACATGAGCTAATGTCTGTACTTCTCAGCTTTTGATGGAAGGTAAACATATGACTTCATCCAAAGTGGCAATGGGGTAATAACTAGGCAGGATTGGTTTGTGTCGCGCCGCTGGAGATGCTCAGCGTCGCGTTTGGATTTGGAGCGTTTGGGAGGCAGCAGTGAGCGGCACGGTCGCTCAGCAATAGCCTCCTTCAGGCACACAAATCGCACCGGCATGCCGGTGTGGAGAGCTGTGGTCCATGTGCATTGTGTCCTCCAGAGCTGGGAGGCCCTGGAAAGCTGAAGTTGTGTCCTCCAGAGCTGGAGGCTCTGCTGCAGAAGCGATGGGGAGCTGCGGGGCGGGCTTGCTGTTGGCCCCTCGGTGCAGGGCGC